GGCTTGCCACCTGAGAGGAGCCCCTGCCAGACTGGAGCTCGCGTCCCGCATCCCCTGCTGATGGACATTCAGAGCGGCTGGAGTCTCACCTCCCAAAGATCACAGGCTCCGACTGCCCACTTCTGGAGCACAGAGCTCTGTGACATGATGATCTGGAACCCTCTAGGCAGTCTGTACCAGCCCCCGCCTCAGTTTCCCTGTTCTGTCATCGGCTCTGCCGCTTGTACCTCAGATGCCCTGGGCCACCACCTCCCTCCCCTCTGACCTTCACCTGTGTTGCTCACCAAACTCAGGGACTCATCTTGGTCAACTGAACAACTTTTAGCACTTACTGCACACCAGGGTCTGGGCTGACCCTCTGTCTTCCTTCCCGGCCTCCTTGCCCCCATGCTGTCTAGCCCTTGGTTCCTGAGCTTGGAGTGGAAGGGCACATAGCACCCCACTCCCGCCCCCAGCCCCCCAAGGCCAGTGGAGTCATGGCTGCTGCCCTGGGGAGCCTTGGCTCCGCTGCTGGCAGGTGCCCAGAAACACTCAACTCAGGTCAGCATGGCAGGGGCCACCCGGCACCGTGCCTGTGCCAGTCTCCCGCCTGGGAACTTACCCTGGCCCCCATGTCCTCTCACATTGGGTGTAAACTCTTCTTTGTCATCTCAGCTGGGGCCAGATTGGTGATGGGCTTAAAAGGAAATAGGTCAGCACTGAGCCAGGACAAACCCTGTGAGCAGTCGTGTCCATGGTTCTCAGGCTGTAACAGCCCCTCAAGTCTGGGATGGATTAGTTATGTCTGCCGTGGGCACAGGTGTTGGGAAAGCCACCTATATGCCAATGGTGGCGAGCTCACGTTGGCTCTCTCCCTCCTTCAGCCTCAGTCCCCACTCCCTCCACCACCTGAACTTCTCCTGTTGGTTTCTTCTCTCTCCCCAGCTTGTCTTCCATGTTTTCTGCCTTCCTGCACTGCCCTGGCCCCCAGGGATGTCAGTCAAGGCCTAAACCCCGAGGGTGCTGACGGTGCCAGCAGGCAGCCACCTCTGCCTCTGCACAGCGTTGTCGTCCACCCTCTCTGCCGGCTTCTCCCTGCCTTCCTACGGGGGCTTTCATGGGGGCAAGGGCCTCAGACCCGCTGGCGAGTGGACCCAAGTGTGCCTTGCACCGACTGTGTGGCAGGCCCAGGCAGACATGCCGTGCCCTCTGGGGTCACGCAGTGTGGCAGGGGAGATGTGACAGGCACGCTCTCATGTAAGTGGTTCAGCCTGAGGGTGGGGAGCATCTGGAGCAGATGCTGCCAGAGCTGAATTTTGAAAGAAGAGAAGAGAAACTGAGGAGGATGGGGAAAAGCATGCAGGCAGAGGGAACAGACAGTACGAGCAAAGGCACGGAGGTGTGATGTGCTGAGGAGATGGGGGCATTGGGTGGCTGGCATGGGAGGCAGGAGCTAAGGGTGGGAATGCCAGGGTGCAGGGCCTGGACTTGACCCAGGGGCTCCTAGGGGTTCTTGGCCTGGAAGGCTAAGGACAAGCATGTTCAGGAGGGGCTCTGGCTGAGGTGGAGGAGAAAAGAGGATGCCCAGCTAGAGGTGGGGCGGGGGACGGTGTGTGTGTAGCTCTGGGGAACCTGACCTGGCAGAGGGCTTGCGTGTGTGGGATCAGAAGTGGAACCCAGACCTCCTCCCTCCCTGTGCCTAGCTCTCTGGGTAGGGCCAGTGGTTCCCAAAGAGTGGGCCCCGGGACCTGGTGCTGAGGCCATGCCTTTGTGCCCAAAGGCAGTTTCCATGGTCCAGTGAATCTGGGAACCTCTGCTCACAGCCCTCCTCTCTGGGTGTCATGATGTCTGTCAGCAGCATGAGGGCTCTGAGAAGTCCTGAATCCTCCTGTTTAGCCCATTGTCCCCAGACCGTGTAAGCACAGGAACATGCTTCAGCGACACCTGGCCACTCCCCAGGGACGAGTCTGGGATGCATGGGATCGGCCTAGCTAGAGTATTTTCCTCTGGAGACTGCCATTGCTGGTGGCCAGAGGGAAAACACACGACTGCTCTAACGTCACGGGCCTTGCGGAACCTGTGGGGGCTGCACGCTGGGTGGACGGAGGAAACTCTACTGGCACTGGGGCCCTGAGTAAGGGCAGACCCGCCACAGCTTCTCTCTGTGATTTGTGGCCCCTGGACTTGGTGCTTGACCTTCACCATCTGTAACATGGGTACAATTCTGCATCCGCTGCCTATTTTCGAAGCTATGGGGATTAATATGACAAAGCATTAAACGCATCCAGGGGGCAGGGTGTTCTGGGAGCTGCTCTGGCTCCCTGCCCTGGGCCAGCACTGACCGTGGGTTCTTGGAGGTACTGGGCTGTCAACCTCCCTGCCTTCTGCGAGCTGCGGAATCTGTTTCACAGACACAGGGCTGATGTGGAAGAAGCGCTGGCCTGGGAGCTGGGTGTGCTCTGGGTCACTGCGGGACCAGCGCAAACCGCTTGGCCCCTCAGACAGGGTGACCATCCTTAGCACTGGGCCTGATGACAAGGCCAATGTATTTAAAGCTAGCACGCAAGTAAGCAGTAGATGGAGAGTTGTAAAATCATGATCTTTTTAATTATCTAATCAGATACATCTGTTTTTACTAAAGAAGACACTGAGGTCCAGGAAGGCCCAGGGACCAACTGGTGGAGGCACACAGACGGGCCGCCAGCTCATCGACCCCAGCAGCACCAGTCCCCTGTGGGACCAATGTACAGGGACCTCGGCTGAAGAGAACGCATTTGCTCTGGCACTGGGGGTGGTGGTGGGGGTGCTCCGTATGCTCCGCAGGCCTGCGGCCTTAGAACCTGCCAGGGCCACAGTGCTTCAGCACCTCTTAGAAATGCCTTCCCATTGGTTGAGAGGCGAGCCACTCCCAGCCAATCACTGTGGCTAGGAGGGATCCTGGGCTCTGTTTGCCCACACCTGAGCCCTGATCCCACCTCTCTCTGGCCTGGAGTTGGTGTTGTGCGGACCACAGGAGTGGAGAGGCAGGTGGGCTCCCCAGAGGCGCAGTCACCTGACCTTCTCATGGACTGTCACATGGCTTCAACTCAGAACGTTAGCAGCGAGTGCCTTGGGGACGAGGGCTGGGGACACAGGGCAGCTGTCCAGGGCCAGGCTCTGCTCTCAGGAGCTCACCTCCACTGGCGGGTCAAGACCATGGGAGGCCGGTTTGGGCTTCCCGGCTCGTTTCTCTCGAGCCCAAAGGCCATATTTTGGAAGGGGAAGAAAAGTAAGAACCAGCGTTTGGGGAGGATGGTCTGGTTATTCAAGGCTCTGTGACCTCGGGGTCAGAAGGCAGCCGGGATCCTTGAAGGAGCCCTGGACGGAGAAGCTGGGAAGACGCTCAAGTGCTGGTTCTGGATCGGAATTGCCTTCGCCTCTGGGCGCGTGATCCTCTCTCGCTGAAAATGTTCCCATCTGTAAAACAAGCCGTTTGGAGGTTTATTTCTGAGCCCCTTCCAGTGTGCACACAACGCGGTTCCGTTTTCCTGAAAGACTGTATGTAAACGGAATAAAAGTGACCCCCTACAAGGCTCGGAGCCCGTCGGTGAGAGCGTCCCATCCCCCGCTCCCGCACCTGCAACTGCGGACAGCCTGGACTTCTTTACTCCGGGTTGGCTCAAAGCGGGGCGACCTGTGGGTCGGAGTCCAGTGCCCCCTGGTGGCGCCCAGGGGGGCGGGCCGCGTCCGGAAGGCAAGGCCCGACGGCTGTGACTCAGGGGTGGCGCCGCTGCAGGATGGCAGGAGGCCCGACTAGGGTTCCGTCATGGGCTGAGCCACGGTGCAATTAATTACCAGCTGCTGGGAGTCCTTGTCGCCCGCTCGCAGTGACTCACCAGGCGGCCAGGCTCATTTGCTGAGCGCGGGGGCCTCGGTTTCCAAAATGAATTCTGGGGAAAGTGCCTGCTTGGGGTGGCGTTCTCCGTCCCCGTGCCCAAGGGCTCCTGCAGGTCCAGCGGAGCCCCGACGGCCCAGACACTGTCCACAGCTCCAGGGCGCAAGCACCCGCCAGTCGCGGAAATGGCGTGGGGAGCCTCGATATGGCAGGGGGTTTCTACACTCGATCGTCCCAGAGTCCCTGCCGGCTGGGAGCCTGAGACCCGCCGAAGGGACGATCCAGAGAGGCAGGGTTCTGGGAGCCCCCAGGCAGCGCGAGGGTTGGGTCTGATTCCTTGGCCTACTCCGCATTGCCTACGGGCGCCTTTGGCCCGTCCGTCAGCCCGCCGCCGGGGGGCGTCCCTTTCCCCCAAGTCTCTCTTTGGCGGGGGTCCAAGGGAAGATGTTGACCCAGGGAGAGGGTCCCGGGGGTCTCCGCAGCTTCGGTCTACCCATTCCGAGCTCTACTGCTTAAGAGGAAACTAAGGGGGCCGTTGGTTGAGGGAAAGCCCCTCAACGACCAGCCGGCAGAAGGGAAGGGGGCCAGGAAGGCTTAATTAAGAAGAGGACAAACAGGTGCGTCCGGGCCGAGCTGCGAGTGTCCTCCCCAGTCCGGTGCCCAGGTGGGCCGTTCCGAGACGTGGAGGTGCAGGAGGGAGGGCAGGGCTGCATTCCGGGGGCACCTGGAGCCCGGCCTCGCGGAGCTAAGAAGTGTTTCTCAAAAAAAGCAACAGGGAGGGACGAGGAAGAAGGAATGCGCCATTGTCCCCTGCGGCCCGACCCCGGGAGTGGCGGCCCGAGCCGTCCTCAGCACTCTCCGGGGATTGGCTCCAACAGGCAGGTGCCGGGCCACCTGGCCAGCAACGCCTGCGAGAGCTGGGGCGGCCCTCGGGACCCGACCGCACGCCGAGGAGGTGCGCCCGGCCAGCGCCACGCGCCCGCGCCAGGTGGCTGGCCCCGCGGGAACAGTGGACGCCGCCGCGCTCCCGGGTGCCCGTTGCCGCCTCCTCTTGGGCTCCCCACTCTCCTCGCGAACCCCTCTCCTCTTGAAGCTGCCTATGTGCCCGTCTGGCTGGATCCCGTTTCCTCCCCCAGCCCCGGGTCCCTCAAACTCTCCGCCCTGCGTGGCCGCGCCCGCTCTCGGGGATCTGGTCCCGGAGGACCCAAGCGGCCTCGTTTATCCTCCCATCCGCTGCGGAAACCTGCCGGGGCCTCCGCTCCCCACCCCCGCTCTCGGACGACCCCAGGGCCCCCGCCGGCCTCCGCCCCCTCCCCAACCGCGCCAGCCTCCCCTGCTCGGCTCCCTCCGCGCGCGCCCTGCGCCCTGCGCCGCGCTCAGTCTGCGGCGGGAGCAGCGGCGGCCGCCTCGCCAGCTGGCTGGGGACCAGGCGGGAGGGGGCGCGCCCGCGAGGCTGCGGGAGGGAGCGAGGGAGGGAGAGCGGGAGGCTGGGCCTCGGCGTAGTCCGGCCCCCGCTCCCCGCGGCCCTCCCGCCTGAGCGGCACTGCCACGCGCGCGCACGCACGCGCGCGCGCATTCACACGCGCACACACACACACACACGCACGGGCACACATACGCGCACACACACACGCGCACACACTCGGGCTCCCGCCGGCGCGCACGCACGCAGCGCCCCTGGCAGACCAGCGCCGCGGCCGCCTCCCCGGACGCCGGAGGGCCCCGACCCCCGCGCGGCTCATGCGCCCGCGCCCACCCCGCAGCTCCGCGAGCCCCGCGGAACCGCTCCCGCCGCCGCCGCCGCCGCACCCGCCACCCCGGGAGGAGCGGGCTGGCCGACCGCCGCCGCGCGGTCCCCCGGCGGTCCCCGAGGCTGCTCCACCGCGGCCCTGCAGCCCCGGGGCCGCGCCCCGCTCCCGCGCCTCGGGGACCGAGCCGAGCAAACTTCGTGGGCCGGCCGACGCCAGGCGGGGACCCAGCCGCGTCCCCGCGCGCCCAAGTGGGCGCGGGGCTCTCAGGCCTTGGGGCCTCGCGCCGCCCCGCCCGCGGCACCTGCTCACCCCCCCTCCCCGCTTGCTGGGGACGCGGGAGACGCCGCCACTTCGCAAACTTTTCCTCGTCCCTTCTCGAGGGGGGAGGCAGGAGGGGTAAAGGGGAGGGAGGTCCCGCGGGGCGCGCGCAGACCTGTGGGCTCCCAGCTGGGCGCCGCCGCCCGGAAGCCCGACCCGGAGGGGCGCGGGCCCCGGCGGCCGCCCTCCGGCCGCGCTCCTACTCCCGCTCCCGCCCCTGCTTTCCCGGCGGGAGCGGGGGGCGGGCTGCGGAGGCCGCGCGGTGCCCAGCGGGGCCGCCGTGCATGGCCCTGCGCCGCGGGGCGGGCTGCCTCGGCCGGGTCTGGCGCAGGGTGTCGGGGCTGCCGGACGCCTGGCCCCGGCGCTCGAGCAGCCTGCTCTGCCTGTCCGCCCGCTCCCCCGAGCCCGGGCCCGCGCCGCGCCTGCCCCGCCAGCCGCCTCGCGGTGGCGGCCCCGGCGGAGGGGGGCCCCCCCAGCCTCCCCGCCCCCCGCCTCCCCGCTGCTGCTGCCGCCGCCGCTTACAACTTGGAGGCGGCGGCGGCGGCGGCGGAGGCGGCGGCGGCGGCCGCCGGGCGCTGCAGTGGGACGCGCGCGGCTGCGAGCCTGCGGGACATGCCCCCCGCGCCGGCTCCTTGCTGGCGGCCATGAAGAGGCAGAACGTGCGGACCCTGTCCCTCATCGTCTGCACCTTCACCTACCTGCTGGTGGGCGCCGCCGTCTTCGACGCCCTCGAGTCGGACCACGAGATGCGCGAGGAGGAGAAACTCAAAGCCGAGGAGATCCGGATCAAGGGCAAGTACAACATGAGCGGCGAGGACTACCGGCAGCTGGAGCTGGTGATCCTGCAGTCGGAGCCGCACCGCGCCGGCGTCCAGTGGAAATTTGCCGGCTCCTTCTACTTTGCCATCACGGTCATCACCACCATAGGTAAGGGCTGGGCGCACCGCCGCCGGGCTCCGCGCGCCTCGGGAGCAGTCCGGGGAGGCGGCGGAGCGCGCGGCGCGGCGCTGGGTGCGGGCCGCCGAGGGTTAAACGCGTCCCGTCTCGGGGCCCCTCCCGCCGCGCCCCCTCCCCTCTCGGGAGCCCCCGCGTCTCCTGCGCTCGGCGCCTCACCCGCGCGAACCCCGCCCGGTGTTCTCCTCCGCGCCGGTGTCTGGGCCGGGCATGCGAGCCCCAAGCGAGCGTGCCGGAGCCCGGAGGGCGGAGGCGCCACTTCTGCGAAGAGTGGAGCGCTAAGAATAATCCCATAGCAGACACCCACCCACCCACCGCCCCGGCGCGGGCTGGGCTGCGCGGGGTTCCAAGCCTTACACTTACTACCTCTCTGGGAGGTGGAGAGGGCCGGCCTGGCACCCGCGGCACCGAAAGGGACTCAGGCGGCAGGGCACCGCTCCTGCCGCGTGGGAGGCGCTGACCCTCGCGGGCCTCCGGCCGTCTCTGAGCCCAGATTTCAGCTCTCCTCTCTCCTGGCTCCCCTTTTTCGAATTGTGGAGCCTGGCGGTGCCAGACCCCTGGGGGGAGAGAGTTTGCTCTCTGGTGGTTGGGGTGGGGGTGGCAGCCGGGTGAACCGCTCTAGGAGCGTAGTTGGGGGGCGGGGGGTGGCAGGGCAGAACCTCCCCCTCCTCCCCCGCTGGGGCTGTGACCATGGGTAGGCAAGTCCGCATAGCGCCCAGACTGGGGGCAGGAGTGGGGTGGGGGTGGGAGCGGAGTGCAGCCCTGGATCTGGGGAAAGAGTCCAGCTGTGCGCTCTGGGGACTCCTGTGGGTCCCTCTCCTAAGGGCACTCCTGCAGAGCAGCCCTGGGTGGGTGCCTAGGGCAGCACCCCACTGAGGCTGAGGGCTGGGAGGACCCACAGACATTGATGTTACACTTTGAGCCTGGTGGGAACTAGAGCAGGCCACTTCATCCCCCTGGATGTGACAGAGGTAGTGTGGTGCTTCTGTGGTTTGCACCTTGTCCTAGCAGCACCCTGCCTCCCACAGCCATCTCCCTGGACCTGTCAGAGCTACCCGCCTGGCCTGGGAGGCCTCTTTCTGTGCCCCTGAAGGGGAGGAGAGGCCTCCTCTTTCTGCCTTCTCTCCTCCCTCCTGCCTTACTTCTCTGGACCTACTCTGATTTCCCTCTTGATATTTTTCTTTGTCTGGAAAGCTCTGCGTGCTGAAAAAACAGGATTTCTCAGTGCCATATGCAACAGGAAGCGCCAGCACAGGACGGCCTGTCTTTCCTTCTTGGTTGAAAAGACTTTTTAGAGAGTCATCTTGTTTGAAATGTTTTATTCATTGGTGCAGGTTTTTGTTTTTGGAAGGAAATTGTCCTTCTGTTGTCTACCTAACCAGCTCTGCTCCCGCTTGCCCCACGCCCTTGGTCCAATGGCCAGAACATAGAAAAGTCCTTCCTTCCCCACCCTGCGCTTCCAGCACCTGAAAGGGCCTGTCCATTACTGTCATTTCTATCTTTAAACTTCCAGCGTGAGCTCCCGTGGTAACGCACAGATGCGCAGGGCAGCGATCCGGGGGGACAGGGGCCTGTTTGCTGGAGATTCTGAGAGCAGAAATGTGCCTTGGAAACTGACCACCTTGGGGAGGGGAGAAACCAGCATTCCCTAAACATGGCGTTAGCAATCTAGACCCAAGACAGGTGAAATCTGCTCATGTGTGCTGGGCCCCAGTAGCGAAGTAAACACATGACACGTCTGGCTGGTCCCGAGAGCTGAGCTACAGCATTGAGGAAAGGATTGGAGTTAAAGTCAAACCCAGAGATGTTCCCATTTACTTGAAAAATTAAACTGGTGAGATTGATAAAGTTCTTACTGAGGTGGATTTATTGACCCTGATGAGTAGTTTTGGGCATCTGCTCCTAATGCTTAATGCTTCAAGAACAACGTGTGGCCATTTGAAGGTGTCATCTTAGCTGGGGCTCTGGGTGGGGGGATCCCCATCAGGACAGTACCCCAGCAGCATCTGATGACTGATTTTTCTCAGCTTCTTTCATTGAATTTTTGACTGATTTTCTGGAAAGAAAGCCTGGAATATATATGTAAGGGTAGCACCAAAAGACTGTCCTATGTCAGCTGCCCTGCAGTGGAAAGACACTTGGAGCCACTGCCCTGGCTTGGAACCCAAGTCCCATCACCGTGGAAGACTGCGGTGGTGGGGGTGCTGCTTCCTGACTCCAACCCCAGCTTCCCCACCTGTAGAAGGGGTGTGATGTGTTAGCCGCCTGCCAGGTTGACTCTCAAGGCCTGGTGGGCCCTCTGGTGCCTGCAGCTACCAGGCACAGGGCTGTGCACTTAGTAGGTGCACTTTGACATAGGCTGAATGTTGTGCTCTCTGCCCTGGGAAGCTGTTTAGCAGAGCTCAAATTTACAGGAAACAAAGCACCTTTCTAGTTAATTCTGTTTGTTTTCTTCTTTTTTAATATAAATGCAAATTAAGGCGCTCCTAGTCCTAGAACAAAAACCAGCCCCAAGCCAGGCCCTCCAAGGAATCGTCTCCTATTGGACAGTGATATTAATAAGTCAGGTGAATCTTCACCGGCGTTCTTATTTTTAATCTGACCTTGAGTGATTTCTTGAGCGTGCTTGGACTTTGAGCTCCAGTCTCCGAGGTGGGGCAGGAACCCCCGGCACTCGTCACGTGCAAATGAATGTAGCTATTAGCTCGCTCTGCGAAATGGACTTTAAAAACGTGTACAGTTACCACCTCGCGTTGTGTTGGATCTGTGGCCGCGCCTTCCTGAAAGGCTTCAGAGGGATATCACGCCGCATGCCGCCCGTGTCCCCGGGAGCCTGGGGCGCAGCCACTGTGTCATAGGAGGAGGAACACAGGTCCAGCGGGCTGGGAAAGCGCAGCTTCAGTCCCTGCGTTGATCCGCCTCTCCTCCCCCCTTGCTTCTTTTGATGAATGGAACGCTTGAAGCTACTTCCGAGACTGTATTGTTGAGTTCCAAGCTTGGGAAGCCCTAGACCTTTGGAACTTTCCACTGTGTTTCAGATGGAAAATGCTCACAGGTGCCGCGCCTGTTCGATCAGCAGGATGGCTGGAAGCCCTCTCACCCTGCTTCCCAAGCTGTCAGTGGAGGGGTGGGAGTGGAGGGTGCTGGGCCAGGGCTGGCCAGGCTACAGTCATCAATTCCCATTTCTCTGCTAGGGGCTGAGGGTGCCCTCCCACCCCCCCACCACAGCAAACTTGTTACCTTCCTACGGGAGGTGTTTTAGGCCGAAACTGCATCCCACCGTCAACTGCTACTCCTGACAGCAGAGCAGGAATCTCCATGACACTGCTTTTTTTAATCTAACATCTGTGATCTAAGTTTTTACCACCTTCAGGATCATTAAAGAAGAAGAAACCATACTTAAAATTCAGATGCCTTCTGCAGGGTCTGGGAGGACAATTTAAAAACTGGTCTGCCTGGGGGAAGAAGACAAGGGGGAGAAGGGAAGGAGGGAAGGAGAGGGGCGCTTTCTGATTCTCTGGTCTTTGGAGAAGGAGGAGATTTCCACGAGGGGCAGTGTTTCCACAGGCCCTCTGAACCCATCTGGTGCCCTGGGGTCAGGGGCTGCGGCAGGAAGCGGGGTGCCTCAGGACTTAGGAGCCAGCGGGTGCAGTGCACTCAGAGGAAAAGTTGTGGGGCTCCTGCAGTTTCCTTGCTCAAGGCCGTGCCCCTGCTTAGGGCCAGAATGCGGAGGGTGCCTCCCTGTCCTCATTCACAAACAGGACCTTGAACAGAGTTTGCGCAAAGTGGAAAGCATTTGCCATTTTTTTCTTGCACTCTTGGGCATAGTTTTTGATACATAGTTTATACTTTAGCAGTGCGCCTGCCCCTGCCTGGTCTGCGCTGCCTCTGATGGGTGCTGGGAAGCTGGGGACCATCTAGATGACAAGATAAGGCCTGGCCTTGAGGCAGGAGGGGAGGGGAAACCCACATGGTTCAGCAGGAGGGGCAGGGACAGCTGCACGTGGTTGCCCTGTCCTGCGTGTGCCGCGCACACCGCCAGAGGGAGCCCTCCTCCCTGGCGTTGTGCCCTGCCCTCTGCCCCTCCCTCCTTGTCAGTGGGGCTGATTCCCGCACCCTGCCCCATGCGCTCCCCGCACCCGCATGCCCAGCGCGGTGCCCTGGGCAACAGGCCCAAATGGAGTGGGCAGGAGTGTGCCGGGAATGCGGAGCTTCCACACAAGCCCACCTGAGCTCTGCTCTGAGGGGAGTCTTGCCCTGCCTCACAGATGAGGAGACTGAGGCACAGATGAGGCAGCGCACACTGAGGCCGACGGCCTTGGACTCTGTGATGCCACCAGGGTCTTCCTAGCACAGGCTCCAGCTATGGACTCGTCCCCAGGCCAAGCACAGCTGTGGAATATTCCATCAGTGCCTTTCCCCCTCTGCCTTCAGCTCCTCCGTTTAGGAAGGACACAGGTGAAAGGCCGGCGGACTCGGCACACTGGGGTCTGCACAGGAGGGGCGCCGTCTCCTGCTTACTTTCCAGAGTGGCAGCTGGCTTGTGCAGGAACGTGAGAGGCCCCTGATGGCCGCTCCTCCCCAGGCCCTGCCTGGACCTGGGCTCGCTCGCCATGGCGCTAGCCCTCCAGCACGCACAGGCTACTGATAGGTGGCAGGGAGGGGCTGGGAAGTGAGGTTCTTTCTGACTCTGGGTGACATAGAAGAGATGGCTCAGAGCGTGGACAGCTTGGTCAGTGCTCTGAGGGGGGAGGCTTCAGATGAGACCCAGGTTTCCGGCACTCGCTACCTCTGAGCACCTGCTCTTCCCTGGGTCATGTTCACCAGCTGAGCCCAGGCATGTGAGAGCGGGAGAAGGTGGTGAGCGAGGCCTCAGTACACATGTGTGTATCCCTTCCACCAGGTGCCTGTGTCACACCTCCCTCCCCCACTTCCCATGTACTCACGCATGCACCTGGGTCACACCTCCACGT